TTGTCGTGAATTTCATCAACATTGCCAGAGCAATGAAACATTGTTAGAAGTACCGGAAGGACGAGGAGACCATGCAGAACGCCTGAAATTCTCAATTGTGTTATCAATTTTTCTGGGAGAAGCGTACATACCCAAGAGAATGACTAGAAAGATGGTTTTCAGAAAGCTTCTGAAGACATAAGACTCAGCTGAGGCTAAGAAGGAAACACCTAAAATGGTAGAGGTGGCACTTTGGAGAATGGGTGCGCCCACGGCATACAGCGCGTCCCGCATACGTTCCGAAGCTGGAAGGTTCTGTCCCTGAAGAACATTCATCAACTTCCATCCATAATACATCCTAGTCATTGTTAAAAGGATACAGGCAGCTTACCTTAGCAAAATTATATGCCAAATGTGCTGCAAAATCCACACAAAATCCAATAGACATCACTATTGTGACCATACTAATAAAATCCAGGCGAACATTCCAAAACGTCATAAAGCCGAGGATGCCAACATTTATAGAGACTATTGAAAACGACACCTAAAAAAGATATACAAGCGACACATAAAAGAAGTCATTGGCATACTTCCATCTACTAATTTCGCCTGATATTTTTCGGCTTTGTTCATGATGAGGTTGACGGATTAAATAAGAAAAGAGAGAAATAAGTGCTGCTGGAGCTCAAGTTTGTGAGGCGTTAGGAATCCCGGCCGCATAGTTCAACATCTCGGATTTGTTGGAAGTTTCTCTGGGGAGGTTATTTGACGTAATAATCAAGATTGTCGTATTCATACCTCACAGCAGGGCTTGCTATAGATGGCAGATACACAATAAGCATGTCAGATTTGGCTGTATTTAGCAAAGCTAATTGACGTATTGACCACAAATATAGGATGCATCATTTTATGATATCAACATAAGTTCTCTATCCGTGATGCTACAGAATGATCCTCATATGAAGATTTAAACTGATGGAGGATAGTTACTTCTTAACACAACACCTCTGCAACTGTATCAGCATGACGATGCGAAACAGGTATTGCTGTATCTCCACTATAAGATAAGTTCGCGAACCACAATAGTACAGTATGATCATATTGTGCAGAATCATGATGTACGAGATCAGGATGTCAGATAATTCCACTAGGAAACTTTGGCAAGACATGATTTTCGCCCCACATTTACCCCTGTCAACCTTCAACTAATGCTAACGCTCGAAATGAATACG